TAACCAGGGCACACATTTATGTCGGCCGATTCTTTTCAATATCAAGTAGAGTTGTCTCTCAGTCGCCATGGCAAAGTATATGACTTTTTCTGGGAAAACAGAACTTGTTCTGGGAAAACAGTGGTCAAATCAATGCAGCATGAAGAGTTTGCAGTATGGCCTTCTTGTGTCTTTAACTACAAGCTGAATAAATTTGTGAATCGACCCTACCTGAATGATTTAGTGTACATCAAAGCCGAACGTGACAAATATACATTGTTGTACAGACTTTGCTACGATGAATATTGCCCCCTTCAGGAACTAGACTTTATGACCAAAAAAGGAGCTGAAAAGGCGAAGAGCCCCCCTTTTTTTCCGAACTGCACCTCGAGGCATCTGCTCGGCGAAGAAACAAGATATTATTACAAAACTGCTTCCCTTGATGCCTGAAAATAAGAAACGTTTTTGGTTGGACTTGCCTGAAAGTGATGTTCCAGACTTCTGTGTTTCAGACGACATCCCTAGTTGAGAAAAGGGTGTGTGTGTTCTAAACTGTAAAACATATTTTTTTTTGTTTTGGCTTAAACTTTTTTATGAACGCATTGTTATATTATATAGATACAGGTCTCAAAATTTTATTCATTTTTAATGTTGACACAAATCCTTGCTAAAGTTGTTTTATTCTAATAACTTATAATCCTATATTTTTAATGTAACATACCTTGAATTTTATAGGCCTAATTACTATAGTTTCACTCTAACTCAAGCTAAATATTATGATTTTTTTTTTTTGAAATACGTTTGTGTATATTTCAATTAGCAAATAAGCACTATTTAACTTTTTAAGAAAGCATTATATTATAACAAACATTTTCAAAGAAGACTATTAAATGTACTTTTAGATTTCAATTAAAAATAGTAAAATGTGTTCTTTCTTAAATAGTCCGTCTCTAAGTATATTTTGAGTAACATTCTATGAATAAATTTTGCAAAAACTCCTGGGTGTTTACCTTTTTTAAACCCTAAATGTTTTTTTAGTTTTAAAGTAAAATACATAATGAGTCACCATGGGAGTTAAGGTTTTTATGTTACGGTTTGCACTACTGTTTGGAGGTAACAAGGCCTTAAGTGCCATTTTTATGCCCAAAAAAAGCCAAAAACAATTTTTTTTAACAAAACTTGTTTTTTATTTATTTTTATTAAATTATTAAGGCCTTTAAACGTACATTTTAGAGAAAAAGGTTGTGCAAAAGTATATTTCGGGTTTTATTGAATATCTCCGTTTCAAGTAAATTGGAGTTAAGCTTTCTTCCTAAGCAGGGCAGTATTATGGTCTCTCAAGGTCAAGATAAGTGAGGAGCTCACATGCAAAACCGGATAAATTCACTTTTAAAGTTTTTTTAGGATATGAAAAAAATACCATACATATTTATTTTTAAAGATTATATTAATTTGAGAAAACAGTTTCAATTTAATGGGGTTTACTAACTGAATAACGTATATTTTTTTATAAAAAAGTAAACAACTCGGCGTTATTAGCAAAAAACATTGGATATATCCGGTTTTGTACACACAATGAAACACTGTGAGCGAAAAAAAATATTTATTTTCCATTAAATAAACAAAATAAGTTAGTTAAAGTAATATTTGCAAAAATAGAACGAACAAATTTACAAATTTAAATATATATTGCAGTCTCTTCGTGTAGGCAATCGCATAGCTTGTCTCCATCTTCTTGGGTTTCATTATTTTCCGAAATATCTACGGTTTCGTCTCCGTTACTGTCTAATAAATTTGTGTACCACAAAAGGTCTTCCCTGTTTCGCCAATCTTCACCAAAATGCTCTTTCATCAAATGATTCAAACTTTTTTTCTTCTTACCTGGTATTGAATTACTCAATGGTAACCTACTTAGCCGTGTATTTTCTGATTTTCCCTTCTTGACAAGCGACTCCCAAGTTGTGTCACCTGATGCTGTGAACCGATAAAATTGAAACTTTTTTACTTTAATAGTAGTTTCATTATTTTTATTCGCAAATTTTTTTAAGTGGATTTTTTTGCATTCGGAAATTTCATTTATTTTCTTACACTTTTTCCAGTTCTCAGTTCTTTAACATCATACATTTGCCAGTCAGAAAAAAGTATTTTCACCGAACCTACTTCCGAATACATTTTCTATGTATTTTGGAAATATTTGGACTGGAAATATTATTATTTCTGTCAAATTATCTGGGGACTGGTTTTTAAGCCAATATGTTAGGATGTGAATGATATGTGAATTTTTATTCTGCCCTCCACATCCATCGCAGAATAGTCTGAAAATATGTACTCCTTCATAATTCAAACTTTGAAGATGATGAAATAAAGCAAAATCAATTTGAATGGCACCTCTTCCAGCCAAACTTCGGTCCAGACATAGAATATCGGATTACGAGACGTCATAGGAACGCAGCAAAAAGCATACCAACTAATTTGATGAGAATAAAACGCATCCCCGATTGGTGTTCGGGGTAGCGGTTGAACTTGCTGAAAGTCGAAACAAAAGGTCATGTTATTATCAGGTTTTTCTTGGGTGAGTTCATAGAAAGTGTTTGCCCTTTTTCTATGGACGCGGTGCTCTATAATGATAATTTTCTAAGGCAGTATTAAATAGGAGGCATGCCAGAGCATCCCCTTGTCTGAGTCCATCCTTTATCTCAAAGTATCTAGAATTCTCTCCCTGTATTCTAACAGTGGCTTCTAAGTTAGACATTGTCAATCTCGTTAGTCGGATAAGTTTCTCGGTATACCAAACTCATGCATTGATTGGTATAGCACTGTTCTCTTGACACGGTCGTATGCGGCCTTGAAGTCGACGAATAGGTGATGGGTTTTAATATTGAATTCTAATGCTTTCTCGAGAATATGTCTTATTGAATGAATCTGGTCAATTATTGATTTTTCTGGAGTGAATCCAGCTTGGTATTTACCAACTATGCCCACTGTGTAAATTTGCAGCCTTTTTTGGAGAATATTTGCTAGTGTTTTGTAAGCAGTTGTTAACAGGGTTATACCTCTATAGTTGTCACACTGGAGCTGGTCACCTTTTTTATGTAACGGGCATATCATGCCTTGAGACCATTCACAAGGCATGGTTTCATTATGTCAAAACAAGAAGTAAAAGCTTATGCAGTGTCTGTAGTAGGGCATCGCCACCATTCTTGTAGAGCTTACTGCAAATTTGATCAATTCCTGGTGATTTATTATTTTTAAGCTTTTTAATGGCTTGGGCAATGTTTTCGATGGTAGGTGGTTTTTCGTTTGGGTTGAAAGGATTCCAATCATTTCGATTTGCTAGGGTGTTATCTGCTTCTTCGATATGATGGCCATTAAATTTTTGCATCGAAAAATTCAACACATCTGTTTAGGATTGAGGCCGTATCATTTAGGATGTTTCCTTCTACATCCTTACAGCTCCTTATTCTTGGCTTAAACTCTTTGCGCATTTTGTTTAGATTTCTGTAGAACTTTCGAGTATCATTTTGATTTCTTAGCCATTCTGTGCTTTCCAACTACTTTTGCTCAAATGGTCTCTTTTTTCTTCGATGTAATCATTTTTCTTCTCTTCTTAGGGTCCGGTATTCTTCCTTTGCTCTTCTTGTGCATTCAGCTTGATTTGTCTTTAGGTATGCCCTGTTTATGTTATCTGTTGCTTCTTGGCACTCCTTGTCAAACCATTCGTTTTCTTTAACTAGTTTGGTTTTCCCCAATATTTTTGTTGCTTTCTCAGTTATTATGTTTTTACATTTTGTCCACAGTTCCTCTTAATTTTTCTCCACCTCCAAGCTCTCCATTTCCTCGTCCATTTGTCTCCTATACTCTCTCGCAACGGTTTCAATGCGCAGATTATCAACATTAATTCTGTCTTGTTTCGTGTGTTTATCTTTCTTTAGGTTTGATATTCTTCCTCTGATTTTTGCCATTACAAGAAAGTGGTCAGTGGTCAATGTTTGGGCCTCAGTAGCTTCTAACGTCTATGAGATCGGAAGAGTGCCTTGCATCTATCAGGATGTGATCTATCTGGTTAATGGTTTCGTTATCAGGGGATTTCCATGTTCCTTTGTGTTTCATTTTATGGGGAAATCTTGTTCCTCCTACTATCATGTTTTTAGTACTTGCAAAGTTTATTAGTCTCAACCCGTTATCATTTGACTCTTCATGTAAGCTCTCACGTCCTATAGATTAAATCGACTTCATCTTGATATAAAATTGTTTGGCTCTTCTTTGCTGAACAGTTTTCTCCAACACTGCTACACATTTAGCAATGTCGTTTAAGGCCTTGGACATAATTTAAAGTTCCTCACAGGTGTCGACATTTGGTCTACCAAAAGACAACCTAAACCGCCCCTTGAATATCTTGCGGTAAAAGCTATACTTCACAGATGATTCGGAATTTTTTGTAAGAAATAATTCATGCGCCAAACACGGACCATGAATACTAACAAAAGTGGTTTTACAGACACGATACCTGCCTGAGCGATATATGTTATGAGGGGCGAGCATTATAACTTATTGCAATTAATAATGCAAGGAAGAATACATGGTAGAAGGAGTCGCGGAAGAAGATGCATCTCCTTCACGTGCTAGGAGATGGTACGTGAAGGCACCCATCCAGCGCAGACGCTCGATCTTTATTGATGTTATGATCTCGGGTTCATTGTATGCTGTGTATAGTTCAAAGGTATATCTTCTGCGCCATATATCATTTTCCTTTACTCCCTTATATATGTGTTTTTTTTTCGGGATTTTTCGTTCAAATCTACCTAATAGGTTCTCATCGTTTTTCGACCTCGTAAATACTTATATGCATTTATACAAAAACAAAAAGACGCAGGTTAAACATGTTGTCAAACTAAATTGAAAAAAAAATGTACATTCAAAAATTATCATTCAAATTATCATATAAAATTATACTATACTTTTGTATAGTATAATTTGCTATATTTGTATCAGTTTTTAAATGTTTGTAATGTAATTTGTAGGGATATGGGAGTGGCAGCTCCAGTTGGACTACTCTCAAAGATATAACGAACAGTTACCTGAGGATTGGATGAAAATCATCGACAGGAGTCCTTTTATACACGTACAAAAAATCGTCAATAATTATACCTTAAAATATTGCAGACCTGAAGATGTAAGTCTATCCATGTGTGTTGTACAAATTTTGGAAGGGCTTGCTGCTTATTTGTGTTTGTTTGAATTATTATTACACTTTCATTTTAACTTACTGTACTGTCTTGGAAATTTTGTGGAAAGTTTATCAGGTAATAGAATAACTATATTTTGTCCATGGCTGTTAACCTCAACATAAAACCGAATACGTGTAATTAAGTGAAGAAAGACACGGTTTTAGTGAAGTCAGTACAAAGCAGTATATTCAGGTATGGAAAAAATGCTGGGTATTACAAAATTAGGGAAGTATCTTTTGCTTGTGAATCACATTTTAGGTCAATTGACTGCTCTTGAAGGTTAACTGGAAGAATGTCAACTTCGATATGAACAGGATCTCTTGTCAACTTAAATTCCCAGTTTTCCTAGCTAACATCTGGAAAGTACTTCGAATTTGATTTTTCAGTTCTTCCAAATGCCGTAATATGACGTCTTTCAAATCCGAAACTATAGTTTATTTTTATGAACGAGAGAGTAATTAGCATAATTTTAACTGGTACTTTCGACCACACCATGGGCGTGCTCAAGATTAATTGAAAAATTACTTTGAATAATTGTAAAAAATAAATGAATTATTTCAGTGTTATAAAGTGTTATGTGTATGTAAACAAAAGTGACCCCTTTTATCACACACTATATTAGAACTGACTGGCCTACATTAAAAAGGGTTTAAAAAAATTCACATTTTTTTTAATTGTTAAAAATTACAAAAGAGAAAAAGAGTTTTTAAAACCGTCTAAGGTATGTTAAATAGATGAATAAAAATATTAATATAAAACTTACAGCTACTTGTTACAAATCCAAATCAGATTCAGAAGATGAACTTTCAGAACCAAGATTTATAATAACTGGCTCGATCATTTTATCAGTAATATTGTCCAGCTTCCACATTTTTTCCTCTTCTTTAATAGTGTGATTTACTGCCTTTTCCCAGTTTTCAGGTTTTACATTATTTACGGCCTCCAAAAACAACTGTTTAACATCATGAATTTTAAAAGTGGTATTTTTTCTTCAAACTTCACTCTTTATCTGTGCCCATACCAGTTCAATCGGGTTTAATTCACAATGATATGGTGGGGATCTAAGTACTGTCATTCCACGATTTTTGATAATTTCATCAATTTCGTATTTTTTAAATTTTTCTTTATGAAGGGCACACAACGAATAAAGTTCCTTTCTTATAGATCCGGGATGGTACGTAATATTTTTTGAACTCAGCCAATTCTGCAAGTCTTTTTTTAACAACTTGGTTGTGGGCAGTCCTTCTATAAGTCTGGAGTGATAACTTGCATTATCCATTACTATTACACAGTTCTTAGGAAGAAGATCTATCATTTGTTCGAACCATTCTTGAAAGACATCAGCGTTCATGTCTTCATGGTAGTCACCGGTACGAGTTGATTCAAAAGTTAATAAACCACCTTCAACAAAACCGTCTGAACTGCCAATGTGTACTATTATCAGCCTGCGTCCCTTTCCTGATGGTGGGTTTAAACCAGTAGATAAGTTATTTACAAAAGCGTGCCTTTGACTTGTAACAGTTTCATCCTGCCAAAATTTATTTGGTGTATGACCCTCGTTGATCCATGTTTCATCAAGATAAAATATTTTTCTTTTTTGGTTTCTCATTTCCTTTATGGTTCTTAGAAAATGTCTTCTCCGTATGACAATATCGCTTCTTTCTAATAAAATAGACCTGGGATTCTTTTTCCAGCGGAAGCCTATTTCTTTTAAAAGTTTCCATAACATACTTCGACTCATTTCTGGGTAATCCTTATCATCTCGAACTGAGACAAGAACTTTATCTAATGTTGGAAATTCTTGTCTAAAGAAGAATTCATGCACTTTCCGTCGAAGTCCTTCTTTAAAATGATATTCTATTTGAAATTTTGATTTCCCCTGGAGCATTACGTGGCATTTGAAAACTACCACATTTCTCTTCTTTAATAACTCTGTAAATCGTAGATTTCCCAACACCAAGTGTACTGCTAACTAACTCAACGGTCTCATCAACACTTTCACATAAACGTTTGTCTGTAAATGATTTAAAACTATTAAATAATAATGTTTTTTCATTAACTGTTAAAGGACCAATTTTTCGGCGTTTACACGGCACTTCCAAATTTTCCATAACACTAGTATACACAATAAACTGCACCTTGCAACTAAAGTACCTACTTTTAGTGAACTGTTAAGAATTTTGAATACGCCACTTGGACCTTCCTACAAAATGGAAAACCCACTATCACATTTTCTGTGGAATAAGTTTAGTAATTATCTAGTCAATTACTGTCGTAGATTCCTGGAATTAAAGAATTAAATGTTGGATTGTTGAAACCCTTACTTCGTGGAATGCACTCATTTCAGATAAAATAAAACGTTTTATTTTATCTAAAGAATTAAACTTTATTTTGCAAATAGGTAGGTACTTATTAAACTTTTATTGGTTATATATAACCAATAAAATAAACATCTTACATTTCTTGCAAATTCATTAGTACTTGTTAACCTCCATCACTCCGACACTGGCAACCTTATTTAGGGATTAGTAACCCTCACAACTATTGTATTCTATTCTGCTCCAACCTTTATACCTGGTGGTCATACTCAATTTAAAATTGTTTTCCTATATACTTCTGTAAAGTTGTTGACAAATATCTGTTTTTCATTGAGTCACCCGTATCAACAGTTTAGGGATTTGCATACATAATTTATTGTTTTATTACTCTCTCATACATAAAAATACACTATAGATGTAGTGGAAGGGTTTGAATATCATCGAGCAGTAGGAAAAGAGGAAAAGTTGGGCTTGGAACTGTGAAGGCGGCGTTGCCAAAGCGATATTTTTTCTATAAACCCCTTAATTGCATTATAAGTGTTTAAGAGGTTTTTACGGCCTTGAAGCTTCAGATTCAGGACATTAAGTGTCTCAAAAAAGTCAGACAAATAAGCCAAGTAAAAGATATGTTTATCATCTGTAAATCTTCTGTGAAGATCTTCTTGTTTTGAAGTCATTAACAAAATTTCAACCTTTAATTTGAATAATCTTGCAAGAATATTTTCTTTGGGTAACCACCGGACCTCTGTGTGAAACAGGAGGGTTTCTTGATCACCATTCAGTTCTTGACATAGTGTCTGGGAGAGCCTAGTGTTTAATGAGCTGGATTTGATGTGGTTAACTATTTTAATTGCTAAGTTTAATGTGACGTTGAGAGGTTCAGGTAAAGTCTGACTAGCTAAAGCTTGCCTGTGAATAATGCAGTGAGAACCAATTGTCCTAGGGTTCTTCATTTTTGCCAATTCCATAAATCCAGATCGACATCCTGTCATGACTTGGGCCCCATCAGTACATATGCCAATTACTTTCTCCCGTGGAAGTTCATAGATTACTCAAGAGCAGAAAATATGTCAATGGCTTTAGTTGTTGTTTCAAGACATGTTTAAAATAATATTTCCTCCAGGAACCGTTTTCTGTCAATAAATTGACAGTAAAGCAATAACTATGCATGCTATGAAATATCAGTTGTTTCGTCAGACTGCAAAAAAAAATTTTTAACCTTATAATTTTTGCAATAGTTGATTTTTTAAATCCAGAGCCATGTCATCAATTCTACGTTTTACTGAAAGAAAATTTTCTACTTTCTTACAACTGTCTTCATTAAGTAAGGTACTACAAGCAGTAAGTAAACAAGGTTTAATAAGTGACTCAGCAATAGTATGTGGTTTCTTGTCTTTAACTATCAAAAGTGCTATTTTGTATGATGCTTCCACTGCTTTCTCATTTTCATCACGAAAATTTGCAGTAGAGTCAAGTTTCATACGTTTTAGGCTGCTTTGTTTTGGTAATAAAAAATTCTGGGCCTTTATCTTTCAAAGAAGAATGGTTTGTAATTAGAAGCCGTTCCAAACGTCTGGGGGGCATTGCATCATTACTAAGAACTGCATGGCAGTTGATACACTGAAGTACATGACTGCTGTTTTTTTTTCATACAGGTCAAACCATACTTGATATAATCGTCTGAATACAATATTTTCTTTGGAAGTGACGTAGCCATTTTCAAAGCTGTTACACAACACTATTTAATAATTCATAAATAATCACTTTGTTATTAAATAACGATTACACTGATTGCTACAAACAGCACACAGAAGCTGTCGACTGAGAATGACGCGTGAGACGGAGTCACTGAACTGGAGCCAAGAGTACTTGCAATACAGTGTTGGTAAATATACTTTGCGCTCTTACGATGTTGCCATACACAAGACTGTCGTGTTCTCAGGTTGTGTGTTTGAGTAAAACGATTTTAATCACGTTTTTTAAATAAAGAAATATTTCTAAACAAAATAAAAATACGAAATACAAAATATTTTGTTTTTTAACAAAATATATATTTTTTAATTTTTATTTATTTTTCTTTGTACCCCCACGCCTCCCCTGAAATTCTCTCACGCCCACCCAGGGGGGCGCGTCCCCCAGGTTGAGAACCACTGTTCTAGGAGAACTGATTTCTATACTGTATGCTGTGCTTAAAGATCTTACTGCGCCCTTGTAATCGGTCCTGTGCGCATGCGAGTGGGCGGAGTCTTATTCGCCAATTTCTTCGTTTTTCTGTAGAATTAGTTTTCATGGTTTAAAAATAAGAGATTAGGTACAAAGACTCCCAAATGCATGGAGTTTTAATTTTGGCTGGTCTTCTCCACCTCTATCAATTGGTTTTATTTACTTAGTAATGTAAGAAATAATAAGAATCTACCGAAGATGTAATCAACGTAAAAGATACTTCGACTTGGCCTGTCGAATCCCTCTGCAGGGCACCAAGGGAATTGATAGGAGGTCTTTAGTTTCCAAGACTCTCTGTGGTGACACACCCACAAAACTTTAAATGTCAGATTTTACACTAAGAAAAACATCACACAAGGAATAATCTAAATAGGCTCAAATAATTCATTATTTCTCACATATCTAACATCACACTGGACTATAATGTTCTTTTTCTAATATTTACATGTAACTGACAGTACATTTACTCACCATCGATAATCATTAATAAATGTCTTACCGTTGCTTGGTTTTGCTTGGGACTAACTCGCTAACAAAGTTCTATTCTAATCTTAGGTATTTCAGAAAGGAATCGTATCTATGAAATCAATGACTATCTCGGATGTATCAGTACCAGCTAACACAGTACGATTGGACGATAACCGTAAAACTTACGCCGAAATAACGTATATTCCCTCCGCTAATGAAATCTGGTGTCGCCAAGTTGGTACCGAAGAAACGGTGAGTATATGTTCATAGACTTTTTTCCTACTTTATGTGTAGCTACAGAAAAATCTCTCCAATTAGTTTCTGACCTGTAAAACAAAGCAAAAGAAAAATGTATCGTTCTGCTTTTTGTACATGAAAAGCAAATGCCCCTTTTTGCGCTTTTATATCTGTAGCTATTTGCCAAAACTTGATATGTCAAATAGAACAAGTTTTCAGTAGACCGAAATTACATATCACGTTTTGGCAAATATCTTAGATGCCATATACAGTGTAGGAAAAAGTTTATGGTCGGTATGTACCTTACGTGAAATGGAGTGAGAAACAGCTGTTTAGAAAGAGAGAGGTATATTAGGTCCGCCCTTTATATCGCCAAACATGCATGCCTGGAAAGAGGAAGTTCAACGTTGCCAAACTTATTGGATTTATTTGACCTGTTGGTTTTTTTTGCATTTGAACAATGTTCTAAGATAATCCAATTTGGGCGAAATTGATTTAAATGGCAGCTTACTGTTTTTTTTTATTGGGAATATGCCACAAGTTTACTTTACAATAAGTGTAATATAACATTTTGATTTCCACTTCGGAAATCGTTTTATATAAAGATATTTATTAATGTTTCGTATTTTAAGTATGATTTCCGAATTAAAAATCTAAACATCAAAATAAGCTTACTTTAAAGTCACATTGTGCCTTATTCTCAATATGAAATAAACTGCATACAATAACGCCACATTAAAAAATATTCATACACAATAATTATTTGGCAACGTCGGTCGGCCTGGTCTGGTCTGGTCTGGTCTGGTTTGGCCGACCGAGTAACGAGTAGTAGAGGTGGGTCGTGCTAGTTTTATCGTTAAGAGCGTAGGTACAAAATTTCGTTCCAATATTTTTTAAATGCATTAATTTTTTGCGAATTCTGAGAAAACTAATAAATATTTTTGAAAAATTTAAACGCAGAATGAAACAATACATTATTACCGAGGGCTGAAAGTCCCTGAAAACTTCTATAATGTTTATTTTAATAAGTTATAGGGGTGAAAAAAAATTAGTGTTATTTTTAATATCTCAAATATCTCATTCAAAAACCTTTTTGTTTATTCTATGGGACTTTCGGCCCTCGGTAATAATGTAATCTTTTATTCTACATTTAAATTTTTCAAAAATATTTGTTAGTTTTCTCAGGATTCCAAAAAAATGAATGCATTTAAAAATTTAAATTTTTGTAAACAAGTAACTATGATTGTTTAAAAGTAGTTTTAAGTAAGAGAGTACCTACATAAACAAACATAATGGCTATTATCGTTTATGTGTATATTTATTGAAGTGAAAGAAACTAATGATTTATTTATTATAACTTGAAAAATAAACTAAGCAATACAAATAGTAACTCGTACTTACATTTACATTACACGTTATTATTAAATCGCGAATAGTCTAAGTTGACATTCAAAAACATAAGTTTTTCAACTTTACTTCTTATTAACCGTCTTCTTTTTTTATTTCAAATTAAACCAGATTTTGAACATGTGTTCACATTTACAATACTAATAGTGGTTAAGTTAGGATATACATGGCGATGGTTTTTCCACCGTTGTAATGGACTCTCGATTCAGGTGTACGTGTAGATGAGCCATCTCCAACTAATTGATCAAAAATACACCATGGATTTAAGTCATCTTTATTGGTTTCTTTTTCTTGTACTGATTGATTTTCAATAGTACAATCTTCTTGTTTGTTAATTATAGAAGTAACCAGCTTCTTAACTTTTTCTTTAATTTTTTTATCTTCATTTTTATCAGAAAAACCCTGCACTTTAAATGGTGAATCCATAAATGTACATAATAACAATGTGCCACTCTGTTCTATCCCATTAAATATTTTTGCTAAACCCGATATTAGTAATTGTACTACGTCGGATACTATGGATGTAAGGTTTGCTACTATAGATGTAGGGTTGTAATTAATACTTTAAAAGCCTTTCTGAAGATAAGGTACTTTTTTTAAATGTGTTTTTTGCAGAATTGTCGAAAATAGGACTTTTTATTTTATCTATTATCAAATCAGTTTTGACATAACATTCCTGAAGTAATGAACCTGACAGTTTTTCTTGTTGGCAGTTTATATCCAGGAATCCACCCTGCAAACTTTTTAAAAGCTGGTTCTTCACCTATGGAAAACGGATGAAACAGGTCTTTGCATAAGTTTAGTAAATCTTGAAAATCAACCAGTACAAGAAAAAGAAACTGATAAAGATGACTTAAGTCCATGGTGTATTTTTGATGAATTAATTGGACGTGACGCATCTAAACATACACCTGTATCGAGAGATATAAAAGAAGTCGACATGTATTTGCCCGATGATATATTACCCACAAAAAATTTCGAACGGAGATTGGAACTGTCCATTACCGAGGTGAAAAAACCATCGTCATGTATATCCTAACTTAACCACTATATTCATAAAATATTTTAGTATTGTAACAAAATCTTTTCCTTGTGAACAAATGTTTAAAATCTGGTTTAATTTTAAATAAAAGAAGAACACGGTTAACAAGAAAAGTGGAAAAACTTGTTTTTAAATGTCAATTTAGACGATTCGCGATTTAATAATGTGTAATGTAAATGTAAGTACTATTTGTATTGTTTAATTTATTTTTCAAGTTATAAGAAATATATCCTTCGTTAGGTTCTTTCACTTCAATACTTATACACATAAATGATAATAGCCAATATGTTTGTGTACTCGGTAATTTGAATACTGGTAAACAATCAACTAGTTACAGTTTACGAAAAACTGTTCCGATAAAAATTTAAAAAACGAGAGGATCCACCTCTAGTTTTTTAGGTATATTAGGATCGGAACCAGAGAATATGTAAAATATCTCTGATCGGAACTATTCGTCTCACGAATGAGCAATGAGTGTTAAAAATATTTATGGAGGGGAGACCAAGGGGAAATATGATTGTTATCTTTGTCTATTCGCTGAAAATATGATTTTATATCTGCGTTAGATATCCTGTTAAATTTTACCATACTGACCATAAACTTTTACCTACACTGTATAGACATATCATGTGAAAGTGAATTATATAAAATACGTGAATATCCTAATTACAAAATAAAAACTGAAGAAATTTATACTGATATTAAAACTTGATATTTAATAAAGATGGTTACTTTTAATCAATTTATAAAATAATGTAAAATTCACCAATTTATTGAATATCTAAATTGAAACTTCAATATAAATCTCTTTGAAATGAGTAATAACAATTAGCAAAATTATTTTTATTGTTCACTGTTATCAATCTACATAAAAAGCAATCTTATCATTTAAAAATAAAACATTAAATTCTATCATTTACATTCTCACTAGTCTTGAGTCCGTGGTAAAATGGATGGTACACTGGATCAAGGTATTGCAGCAGGAAAAGCAAGTCTTCCTTTTTTTGATGTTTTATGGGTTTAGGTCCACTATAAACAGGTTCTAATGTAGGATCCATCTGCTGCCCTCTGCGTTTAATATTAAGGGTAGAAACGTCAATATGTGCATTTTTAATGTCTATAACACCCAACTCTTTACCAAAACGTAGAACTTTTATATCATGTCATTTCACATTTTCGATAGCGGACCAACTCGACATCGAGTTTTGATGTAAGTTTTGCAGATATTAAGAATACGCTAGAAAATCTTTCCTCTGCATTTCGATAACCTGGAATTTCTTCTTACCGGGGAAAGTTTTAACAAACTGGTACCAGTCATGAGGTATCTTTATTTCAATTTGTGACGGTTTTTTTGGCACGCTCAATTCTTGCATGGTCAGCATCACATTCCATTCTAGTATGACCCACTTTTAGGAACTTGTGTTGTATTTCATATATGATTGTTGATCTATAAACAAATAAAGACAGTGCTCCTGCAACAATGTTAATTTTGTTTTGTCCGAGACAATAATTCGAATATAGAACAACTTTTTCAACTGTATCAACTAAGCTGTCAAGGTATTTTAAAAGACAAGAAGCAACTTCTTGATCTGATTCACGGTCTGACAACCCCTCATGCCACATAAAACATGAAGTGGTATTTTCAGTGCAATTTATGATGGTGATGTCCAGAACAATCTTTTATAGTAGACTACATTTGTGCTTAAATTGGGTGTTGGTAGGTTCTGTTGTAAGTCAAATACTAAAACAACCATTTTACTGCTACTGTTTCTGGAGAACTCTATCTGCTTTTTTTCACCATAGGCAATCTCTGCTAGCTGAAGGTGTTTATTTTTGTCTTCATCCACGGCTGCACGTATTTCTTCACTATTAAAGGATTTTTTCTTGTTTTCTAGATAATCACAAGTCTGACATGTATCGATACTAGGATTTTTAAATTTATATTAAAGTTCTTTAAAAATCTTAGCATAAAATGAATATGATACAGGCATTGTTCTGTTTGATACATAAAGATCATACATAAAATATTTAGATTGGGAGCTAAATAGAGTCGACTTGTGTCTTCGAGAGAAGTGGCTCTCATATTTTGGAAAAGACTCTTATGTGTTTTATAGCTTCAGCTTTTTCGTCTGGTCGAGCGTTATGTGGTAGACGTTTTCCAGATCCATTAGGTTCTATAAAACCCGTGGATGATATTTTTTTTATCAAAATATCAATTTTTCCTCTTGTGATACCATGTAGATTCTGGAACATGTATATGCAAACTTTTAACATTTTGTCGTTATATGTGATATTATAGGATACCACAATTTGTCTGTTTTTATTATTTCCTGGTTCTCCTTTATCTTTTCTTTTTGTCTTCTTTGACTCAATATTCACTCTTTCAGAAATTACTTGGTCTTTGTATTATAAATTAAATGTAATTCAGGAATTTAAAGAAAACTAAACATATCTCTGAAAATAATGAGTTTATGTATAGAGAATGCTATATAAAAATGAAAGAGTATAAATACAATATTTCTAAAAGATAAAATACAGGATGATCCATTAAAAAAAATTGAGAAAATTGTAATTTCGTTTTTTAGTTCACTCTGTATACAAATTTTAGCCAATGATTTAAATTAAACTTAATTTAAAAACTACAATATATTATTTACCTTATTATATAAAATAAATAATTGTTTATGCATTATTTCTTTATATACATGGTGTTGATTTTATAGGGATTTCGAAATAAAAATGGTCATAACTTGTTAAATACTCTTTATAGTAATGCAACACTCAATATTATAAGAACAAAAATTATGAGAGGAATATAAATATGAAAAAAATATATAGGGTGTCCCATTTAAAAAATTGTATGTTTGCTATACCACGTAGTTATTAATCACCTTGTAGAATTCCACATAAGCTAACATGAAAAATTATTTTAGGATGCGCATAGTCTTATGATATCCAGCATGGAAGAATATTACGAGAACAATCTAGAAAATCTTCACGCCGTAAACATCAATCCCAAAGGATACTACGTGGCCAATTTTAACAATAATTGGTTCAGGGTACGAGCCATCGATGTCAATGAGACAAGCGTCAAATGCTTTTATATCGATTTTGGGGACGAAGTGACGCTCCCTAAATCACAGATCTATCAACTGAAAAGGGAATTCGCGTTTTGTGAAGCTCAAGTAAGTATACAATAATAGAATAACAGATAATAAATAAATGGTGCAGATATATTGATAAAAAAATCTTTCTTTCCTTCCGAATCATCAATAATTTTCAATCGCTATAGTCAATAATTGTATAATAAATAATTATCGTCTCTCGTATAAAATCTGTATAAATTGACGACTATCAAATCGCACATCAGTTCTTTCAAGACACGTCAAAATCATTATATGTATAGGTAAAGAAATAATAAATAAGACTTACAATCAATTTAATTTAACTATCAGACGACCGGTTTCGCTTTCTATAATATGCAAAGCATCTGCAGGTCTCGATACAAAGTTAAATAAATGCTGAAATAATAAAAACCCATATTAGGGTGTTGTCTAATAAAGATAAACAAAGTAGATGTTGTAAATTACAATAATTATGCCAATATTACATGTCTGTGGTTTTATTTCAAAAAGAGTAAGTTGAATAAAAAGGTATAAAAAGTTTTAAAAGTTTAAACAGACAAGGTAAGGCCCACAAATTGTTATAAAATAGTCTATTAGATTGTAATAAATTAATAAATTAGCAAATAAATAAAAATAAACATTACTTACATGCCGGTACTCTAATAATTGATGGATGGTAGAACATGGTTGAAACTACTATGTATTGTTGAATGGAGAACTCAATTCTGCTATTGTAGTTGTTTGACAGTAAACGGGAAGTTCTTGAGGAGATAGATTTGATCCAATGAAGCAGAGATATGTGTGTGATTGTTTGTTAAATGAAAGTGATGTAATATACCATTGTATTATTAAAAGTTATTTATACTGATAACAATTTGTGGGCCTTACCTTGTCTGTTTAAACTTTTAAAACTTTTTATACCTTTTTATTCAACTTACCCTTTTTGAAATAAAACCACAGACATGTAATATTGGCATAATTATTGTAATTTACAACATCTTTATATTGTAATTACTTTGTTTATCTTTATTAGACAACACTCTAATATGGGTTTTTATCATTTCAGCATTTATTTAACTTTGTATCGAGACCTGAGGATGTTTTGGATATTGTAGAAAGCGAAACCGGTCGTCTGATAGTTAAATTAAATTGATTGTGCGTAAATCTTATTTATTATTTCTTTACCTATTTGAAATGGACTCCACAAGCAACACATTCATGATTCATTATATGTAGCTTGAAATGCAACCCAGGAGGCATATATTAGAAAATCCTTTCTACTGCACATATCGCTCGATTTTCAAATAAAAGTTCAATATTGATTTCGGTTATCCTCGTTCCATAATATACGATCCTATCGTTCTAGCCAGGGTCGGCGCCTCGACGTTGCATCTATGAAAGGCCCAGACTTTGCCACCCATTGCCATGGACTATCAGAAAAATGAAAATCTTCCAAACGGTTGCACTAACGATGTGTACTATCGTAGGCAGCACTCAATGTTTAGCTTCCGCATCCCCTTTTTGTTGATTCCTGACAGCATTTTCGACACATACCCGGAATACGTTTCGAAAAAAGGGGCAGATGACATATTCTCTTTTTTGTTTGATTACATGATGAATCGACTACCAGTTGTGACACATTTTCACTTTTTTTTTTGATGAAGTGGTGGACCAAAACAAAAATTTAACGATGGTCCGTTTCATACTACATTGTAAATATTGTAAGAAGGTTGGCCTCCATAGAAATAACCTATCCTGATCGTGAGGCTGCCCATCGAGCAAAAAGACAAAAGAGGGAATGTAAAGGTAGTGGGGGGAAAATATTGTTAGACAGGAAGTGCCATCTTGAAGAAGATGGCACTTATTATTAAATAGATGAGTTAGATGAAGATGAGTGCCAGATTGTTAGACAGGAAGTGCTACATTAAACAAGGAAATAGAGTCTTTCCTTGTTTAAGAAATCAAATTTAGTTGGGTTATGTTATTGTTTGTCTAAACTGTCACATGAAACCTTATTTATATTAAAGTTTTTTAACAATTGTGTCACATTTTAGACTGTTATCGTTATTGTTTAGTTAAAGTTTCTCGTCTAAGATACATTCTGAAAACTTTTTTATAGCTACTGTTAATAAATGTCCAAAAGTTTAAATTTGGTGCATTCGCATTTCCGGATATGTCCGCCATCAGAGGCCACTTTTTTGGTCTCCTTTTCATAACTATTAGATTCCCTCTTTTGTCTTTTTGCTCGATGAGCCTGCCTCGAATGCGATAAGAATATGGATGCATCAATCTCAAAAAAAGGATGGAAACGCAAGACTTCTTCATGTACCATGTTCTTTCAGAACGTTAGTTACCATAATAGCTATCTTAATTTTATTCACTGCCACCTTAAATAGCATGCTTGTATCAACACCATACCAATCTCGCAAATTCTTCAACCATGAGGTTTTTCTTCGTCCTGGACTGCGTTTGCCTGCTATTTTTCCTTGCATGATATTTTGTAGCAACCTATATTTGGGACCTCTCATTACATGTTCGAAATACTTCAACTTTCTCTGTTTGATCCTTTTTATGATCTCAGTAGTCTTGCTAAGACGTTCTATTATTGTGGAGTTTCGAATCTTCTCCACCCAGGAAACTTTTAAAATTCTTCTATGGCACCATATTTCGAAAGCCTCAAGGCGATTTAGATCGATTTTATTCACAGTCCAGGACTCGATACCATAAAGTAAGAGAGAACACGTAGCAGCGAAGTAGGCGGATCCTCAATGCCAATTTTAGGTCTCTGTTACATAACACCTTGGACATCCTTCTAAAAGCAGCTCTAGCTTCCTCTATATTAAATCGAATTTCGCCGTGACTTTCTGCGTTACAATTTAATTGCTGTCAAAGGTAAACGATTTTATCAACTTCAAGTTTGGTATTATTTACATATACAGACGGTTTTATATGCTACTACGAGTATTTTGGTTTTCCGTATGTTAAGATCCAGACCTGCCTCCCTACAACTCTCAACAACACTATAAAGTAGTGTTTGCAGATCTTCTTAACTAGAAGCTAGGAGTACTGTATCGTCCACTTATCGCAAATTATTGATGACTTCACCGTTCACAAGTATTCCTTCTTGTTTTTTAGAAAGTGCTTTTCTGAAAATTCTTTCAGAATAAACGTTGAAAAGCAGGGGTGACAAGCAGCATCCCTGCCGTACTCCTCTTTTAATATTGAGAGCCTGTGATTCCACACCATCTACTAAAACTGATGTTGTTTGATTCCAATATAAATTTGCAACTATTCGAACATCTCTGCTGTTTAAGCCAATGTCTTTTAGAGCTTCGATCATTATAGAGTGCTTAACACGATCAAATGTGTTTTTGAAGTCAATAAAACAGATATATCTCGACATCTTTGAGCAAGTACGTTAATTCCAAACAGTACCTCTCTCGTTCCAAACCCGTTACGGAAACCAAACTGAGTGTCATCCAGGTAAGGGTAGGTACAACAAGACTGGATTGACAATATTCGCAATTCATGACGTGAACCGTTTCCTTTTCAAGGTGATTGCAGTAAAACAATCATGTACGCAAATGGACACAATTTTTCGAGAAGCGTTTCAAGAAAAAATGTCCGTTTGGTACCCAAAAAATGAAAGAAACTTGTAAAATCCGGCCAGTGTAGTCTGTGAGAATTCGAGAACTACAATGGTGTTAGGATCATGCAGTGTATTAAGTAAAATCGATAGTGTGCCCAAGGTAATCATCTTACAAAGGTTTCTTCCTTCTTCCTGAACAATCATCAAAATTTTTAATTTTTTGAAAACTATGGTGGTTGTACATTCCCCCTTCTAGCCTAACACCCTTTTTTTGAATCTAGTTGATGATTATTAAAGCTAGACAGACGAATATCGCGAAATTGTACTATAACTACCGAACAATAAAAACTTTACTTTTTTAGACTCATTTAAATATTTTATGTTTATTATAGGCTTTCGTATGTCGACTAGCAGGACTAGAAGATATTTATGAGGTGTCGCAAGATTCTAAAGCTTTACAAGAATTTCTATATAGAGCCGTAGAAATGGAACTGGCCGAAGAAACAATCGGTACGTATTTTATCTTTTTGTTCTTATAATGTTTGTTTATAGTTTATAGTACTATAATATATAATTAACAGCAATAGCTTCAATGTCGTTGTATGTATTTCCGCGGTTAGTACAATTAAGCCTAGAGCTAAGATTAATAATTTTATAAGAATTAATATTAGACTCAACAGTCATCCGTGTTGAACCGCATCGATTATCATTGCGCCGAGCTTTCGACATCCTCTTTGATGTCTTCTTCACAGCTTCCGAGGTCTCAGTCTCCTGAGCCCCCAGGCACTACTTCACTGATCACTAACCAATGTATTACTGCCACTGGGATCAGAGGAGTCGCTGGTGACGTGGTTTTTGTAAAGGTTGACGTGAGGGTTAGCGCTGGAATTGGCGGAAATTTAGCAAACAGAAATGGAATGTTCATTAATCGTATTTTTGATTCTACGATTTGTTTGGCCTATATAGGATCTGGGGCTAGTCTACACAAGGAATTTCATAAACTCCGTGTTGTTCATTTGGAATGATTGTCTTTGATTGATCGGACAAGAGATAAAAGTTTTTGTTGAAAGATGACGACATACGGTTATCTTCGACATGCAGACCTCTCATAAAGAAAATATCGTCGGCTTCACTCGCCAATCAAAATCATACAGTCAGAAATGTTCGCGCCAATCTTTACGTCAACCTCCACCCAAACCATGTCACCATCGACGGTATAAGATCTCGGAAGCCCTGAAGAAGACATCGAAGAGGATATCGAAAGCTCGGAGCAATGTTAATCGATGCGGTTCAACCCGGAAAATTACTGAGTTTAATATTTAGCTTTATTATTATATATCGTCAGTGCATTGCCACACCCACGAATGTAAAAAATTTTCGTTTTTCACCTACATCAACAATAATGTCTCAGTCATTCATGTACTGTGCCACAACCACGAATGCGATTAAAGGCTAGGAGGTAGGGAGAAAATATGCACTTTCACGAAAGTCAGTCTGTATTTTCATTTGCAATGCGTGCATCGCGAAAGTGACACTTTCGTGTTTGTGGCGGTGTAGTTCGGAAATCGGTATTTTGAGAACGATTTCCGAAGTGGAAATTGAAACGCCAATGAACGTATTTTTACCTTTAATTGGGGCTTATTCCCAGTAATAGTAATTACGTCTCTATTATGCACAAATTGTACAAATCAAAGTGCTCAGAAATAAATGTCCATCCCGTTTCTTTCCAAAAATATCGACGAGTTTTAAAAACTTATAAGTTGGGGTTCCATAGAACCAAAAAGGAGCAGTAAAAAGTGCTTAAAATATACAAATATGACAGAGGAGGAAAAAAACACACGAACAGGCTCATCACAAACACGTACTAAGGAAACAATTAGCTCGTGAGGCTCGAGACAAAGACAAAAAAATTGTAACGAACAATTCAGAGGTACTATTCTTTAACTTTGACCTCGAAGTGTTGCTTACAACTCTAAATTTCTATAAGTAAACAGCATGAAAATTCGCGGGCGACCCAAAAATGTTGCCTTAAACAAAGCTTATGATAAGCAGTTGCCAATTGCGATTGCTAAATATAAAGATCTGCAGAGAATGTGTAATGATTTAACAATTCCAAAGAACTGTTCTAACTTTTATAATTCTATCACTACCGATAAAAATATAATGCCGGAGCCAAATGAAGGCGAGGATTGGCGAACGAGGAAAACTAAATTATTGTTAAATATGATTTAAGTGTTTTACAATATTATTAGTATTTCTATTTTTGTAGTTTTTAATATTAGAAAGATCTTTTTGTTCCACTTTACCATAATAAAAGTTTATATAATTTCACGTATATGCGTTTTATTACAAAATTTACAATGCCACAGTCACGAATGTAACTTTTTTCGAAAAATGATGGATATTTTCGTAAATTCCTGATAATATTTCTAAAATATACCATATATTAATAAAAGTACAAAAAAATGTCACATTAAATCCTGAATTTTAGCAACTAATTGAAAGTTTAAAAGTGGAATATCTGCTAACGCTCATTTTGCACATTCGTGGGTGTGGCATTGCACCGACGATATATGTTTACTACTTGAAATAAACAAGACATTCAATACTTTTTTTTTCTGTTAACAGAATCCGAAAATGAAATACTACCTGTTTATATGTACGACATGGAGACAGGTTCCTGTATTAACTTCGACATGATGATGCTCCTTGATCAAGAATTTGCAACTCCCAGAATAGGAGTGAGTATTTTGCCTCTTTTACTATTTAAAAAAAATCCTGTTTGTAATTTATCAGTAGAGCCGATGATGTATTAAGGTGGTCTGATAAGTTCTCGACCTCTTCCAAAGATAGTAGTACTACTCGCGTGATTTTCTCCTTAAGTTGGAATACGTTTTACTAAACTCCATATAAAATTACAAGCAATTCTAGACAATTGTTGGAAAACTCGTCTTCGTACATTCATAAAATTACAAAAAGAGAAATCATACGATTTCTACCTGGCGAAATCGACTTCAAATCTTTAACACTGTGCTTTCTAAAGCTTGCAAAGCAAACAGCTTGATAAATTACTCGGCAAGGGAATCTATGATTTCATTCCACATGCCGTTCATCATGGTCAAAATTCGTAATGAACTCAATTTCTGGTACTCCAAACTGAGCAAAGAAATAAAATATAAAGACGATACTAGATTTTTGTTTTAATACAGAGCGGCGGCAAGCCGCTTATATGTATTTCGACCTCTTTAGGTCTCTTGAAAAAAAAAATTACAATTGTTTGATATTTTTTCCTGTTGCTAGCTTATATTATTTCTAATCGTTGGCTAATTTCGTAACTCTGATTTGAATTTTTGGCGTGAAACTTTACACTGACGCTTTTAAGTTATTCTTCTTCTTCAAGTCTTCTAATTAGACATCAATACATCCTTGCATTTAATATTTCGAAAGTGTGATTGGAATATTCTTTTGTAATTATTAACTTTATAACTAATTAAATAATTATGTGAAATTTATCTTTTTGTGTTCAATTATAATTTTTTTAACCTTCTACCCGTCTGACCTATTAATGCGGTTTTATACTACATTTTACTACTACTATATTTTTAATAACAATTTTAGTTTAGTCACTAAATCTGGTTATTTTTTAAGGACAACATCACCGAAGTATGTGTCTCACATATAGCCGACAACGGAGACATATACATCCAAGTGCGTGGACATGGTCATCAGAGATTACTACAACTTCTTGCTGATCTAGAATATCAAATAGTCAATGATCCTCCCACGCACACACTTCAACGTGTAACAAAGCAAAACAGCCAAGGAAAAATATACTTGGGAAAATACAATGTTGATGGACATTGGTATAGGTAAGAATTAAATTATATACAATTTAAATAAAAAAGACGAAGGTCATCTAGAACACCGGTTCTAAACCTTTTTTTCATTTTGTATCACCCAATGTATCTTAAGACTAAGTACCGCTATTATATTTCTTACAACTATAATAATGATTATAATATTGTGGATTTTTTTCATTTTAGTGAATTTATCAATGACTTCAAACTTCCACAAAGTTACATTTGACTGAGTTTTGATGTGGTTTCTCTTTTCACCAATTTACCTCTAGCTTGTGTCCATCCATCCAAACTAACTGTCCTGTGTCCTGGGATGTATTTGCAGAACTGTTGCAATTAATATTTAACACAAATTTTTTAGTCTGATGACAGATATTATCTACAAATTTTTGGGACACCTATGAGTTTCTCAATCTCTCACCTCCTAGTTAACTTTGTACTGGATGATTTAGACTGGATGAATAAGAGAACGGTTATTAGTAACCTGGGCCAAATTTATCATGCATTAATATTGCAGAACTAAGCATTATTAGTTTTTTTACTTTAATATTGTCTTCTACGGTGTGCTTTTGTATACATTTTCACTTTTAAATAAATTCAAATAAAAAAAAATTCTACTCAATTCGTTATTACTATTTAACTAAAATTTTATTGATTCATTTATCAATGTTGGAAAATTTTTGATGAAATAGTTTAATAAAATTTTAAATTAATTTGATTCATGTAATTCTCATTAATTACTCAGTTCTATAATATTATGAACCTTGGACTGTGGAAGTTGAATTAAATTAGTACCTGTGGCTGGCTAACCAGCTACAACGTAGTCACTTGTATTGTGATATGGAAAGATCGGCCTCACTTGTTTGTCTTTCTTCGATCCATTCCTTGAAAGTAAAATGGTGCTTCCTAAACATATGTTGCTTTCTTTATAATATTTCGTACAGACAAAGATTTCCCCTTACTATATCATATATTTAAATTTACCGCTCTAATTCCAACCATATTCAGAATTAACAATAGTATAGAATCATATCACCACTCACCTCTGGAAATTTTACAAAAGTTGAACGCTAGCACTAATTTAAGGAAAAATAACTAATAATTAGTGTAATAAAATTTGAGCAAGGACAAGAAAATATGTAACATTTAATGCCGTTTAGTTGATTTTTGTGATGCAAAGGTTGATAATTTATGACAGAAAAACTATGAATTCCTTTAGAAACGAACTTGGTCATAGTAAATGTCATTAAAATACCTTATTTGTTTCAACAGGGTGAAAATACTCGATTGGTCACCAAATGAAGACTATATTCAAATCTATTATGTAGATTTTGGAAATACTGAAGTTGTTAAAGTAAAAGAAGCGGTTTTATATCCTCTGGATAAGTTAAATGACGTAATAAACAAGTATCCTCACCAAGCTGTTCGCGTAAGTATAAATGTATATGTTCAAATGACAATTAGCCCAGATTTACCTAAATTTTCATTCGTCACGATCCATCTGAAATAAAAAAGTATATTGTATTTTTGTATTTTATTGACTAAAACAAAATTCACACGACTTACCAATGATGCCATTTGGAGACCTCCACAATGGCCCAATGATTTCATTTGGATTCATTGATATTTATAATGTTTACATCAACAATCTTGTAAATAGGAGCAAACTATAATGCAAATTATCAAATAAAACAATGTAAGAAGCAAAATATTTTTTTTTACCACTGTAAATTTCAAATCACCTTAGAATTATTTGAAATTTACAGTAAATTGATAAACGTTGTTTCACTATTAAGTTTTACATTGAAATGTGACTAACGCTTACTGATAGAATTGTCAAATAAATTAATGCAGCGTCATCTAGTAGGAAGGTGAGGTAACGCAATACCGTTCGCCAAATGACATAAGTAGTTTCCCATTTGGGATCATAGCAAATTCTGCTAACATAAGATAGGAGTAATTGCTGCCTCCGAAGGTAAAGGAAAAGTTCATGAGATTCACAATAGATATATTCTATACTACCTTCTAATATTATATACGTTCTGTAGTAATTATAGTAAATATGTTTTTTTTTAATATTGCAGACCAGAATACTTTTGAACAGCCCACAAAACGATCTAAAGTCCTTACTAACTACCGCAATTCCTATGAACGAACCGATAATTGCTAAAGTAATGGGATACACTGAAGATGATAATAAACTCCCATTGGTCGAGTTCTTCAGCAGAACGTCCAAAGGAGGATTGTTCTGTATTAATAAATCCATTAATATGACTAATGACATAAAGTAAGTATTATTGACATAACATTAGAATTTATTGGTAAATCACAGAATTAAATCTTTAAAATGGCAGCAATTGATAATTGCTTTAAAATAAAATATCTTGACAAACATCCTCTCTTAGTAAGTAAGAATAAACGAATTCATCATATTTAAAATATACCTAATAACCACCATTGTGGTTTCCTCATGATGCCTATGAAAATAGGCAAAATATGGTGAATATAGTAAAAAGAGTATACTTTGCTTTACTATATTCTACGGATTGTTGTTTGATTTCAAACCATTTATTAAAATATTCCGGTCATTATTTTTTGCAAAAACTTCAAAAAATCAATGACATTATTAACTCTTAAGTTCAGCGATTGCGTCTGTAGTCAGCCAGCAGCATTTAATGTATTTCGCCAGCAAGAAACTTGCACGCTTACTGTTTGTCGTTAAAAATGGTTACTAATTGAACAACTAGATGGAGTTGTTTGAATAATATCTGGAAAATTAACGGATGAGCACCGGAAGCTGGAAAATATTTTTTGTTGCAGATTTTTTTTTCCGAAGTTTTATATCGGTTCTTTGAGCCTTGTTTTCTTTTACAATGGATAGGATGCTAAACTGGCCCATCAACCCTCCTCTTTTATCCGGGCTTGGGGCTGGCTGTGCGCATGAACGCGGCTTCTGAGTTATTCAATCCACCCAATCCGCGCTCATAACCCCCAGGCAGATTCTAGATATCCGAAGCTTAAATCGAGCAGACGCAGGGAGTGAACACAAACTATAGTGTATTTTTATGTATGAGAGAGTAATAAAACAATAAATTATGTATGCAAATCCCTAAACTGTTGATACGGGTGACTCAATGAAAAACAGATATTTGTCAACAAGTTTACAGAAGTATATAGGAAAACAATTTTAAATTGAGTATGACCACCAGGTATAAAGGTTGGAGCAGAATAGAATACAATAGTTGTGAGGGTTACTAATCCCTAAATAAGGTTGCCAGTGTCGGAGTGATGGAGGTTAACAGGTACTAATGAATTTGCAAGAAATGTAAGATGTTTATTTTATTGGTTATATCTAAGCAATAAAAGTTTAATAAGTACCTACCTATTAGCAAAATAAAATTTAATTCTTTAGATAAAATAAAACGTTTAATTTTATCTGAAATGAGTGCATTCCACGAAGTAAGGGTTTCAACAATCAAACATTTAATTCTTTAATTCCAGGAATCTACGACAGTAATTGACTAGATAATTACCTTCTAAACTTATTCCACAGAAAATGTGATAGTGGGTTTTTCCATTTTGTAGGAAGGTCCAAGTGGCGTATTCAAAATTCTTAACAGTTCACTAAAAGTAGGTACTTCAGTTGCAAGGTGCAGTTTATTCTGTATACTAGTGTTATGGAAAATTTGGAAGTGCCGTGTAAACGCCGAAAAATTGGTCCTTTAACAGTTAATGAAAAAACATTAATATTTAATTGTTTTAAATCATTTACAGACAAATGTTTATGTGAAAGTGTTGATGAGACCGTTGAGTTAGTTAGCAGTACACTTGGTGTTGGGAAATCTACGATTTACAGAGTTATTAAAGAAGAGAAATGTGGTAGTTTTCAAATGCCACGTAATGCTCCAGGGAAACCAAAATTTCAAATAGAATATCATTTTAAAGAAGGACTTCGACGGAAAGTGCATGAATTCTTCTTTAGACAAGAATTTCCAACATTGGATAAAGTTCTTGTCTCAGTTCGAGATGATAAGGATTACCCAGAAATGAGTCGAAGTACGTTATGGAAACTTTTAAAAGAAATAGGCTTCCGCTGGAAAAAGAATCCCAGAAAGTCTATTTTATTAAGAAGAAGCGATATTGTCATATGGAGAAGACATTTTCTAAGAACCATAAAGGAAATGAGAAACCAAAAAAGAAAAATATTTTATCTTGATGAAACATGGATCAACGAGGGTCATACACCAAATAAATTTTGACAGGATGAAACTGTTACAAGTCAAAGGCACGCTTTTGTAAATAACTTATCTACTGGTTTAAACCCACCATCAGGAAAGGGACGCAGGCTGATAATAGTACACATTGGCAGTTCAGACGGATTTGTTGAAGGTGGTTTATTAACTTTTGAATCAACTCGTACCGGTGACTACCATGAAGACATGAACGCTGATGTCTTTCAAGAATGGTTCGAACAAATGATAGATCTTCTTCCTAAGAACTGTGTAATAGTAATGGATAATGCAAGTTATCACTCCAAACTTATAGAAGGACTGCCCACAACCAAGTGGTTAAAAAAAGACTTGCAGAATTGGCTGAGTTCAAAAAATATTACGTACCATCCCGGATCTATAAGAAAGGAACTTTATTCGTTATGTGCCCTTCATAGAGAAAAATTTAAAAAATACGAAATTGATGAAATTGCCAAAAATCGTGGAATGACAGTACTTAAATCCCCACCATATCATTGTGAATTAAACCCGATTGAACTGGTATGGGCACAGATAAAGAGTGAAGTTTCAAGAAAAAATACCACTTTTAAAATTCATGATGTTAAACAGTTGTTTTTGGAGGCCGTAAATAATGTAAAACCTGAAAACTGGGAAAAGGCAGTAAATCACACTATTAAAGAAGAGGAAAAAATGTGGAAGCTGGACAATATTACTGAAAAAATGGTCGAGCCAGTTATTATAAATCTTGGTTCTGAAAGTTTATCTTCTGAATCTGATTTGGATTTGTAACAAGTAGCTGTAAGTTTTATATTAATATTTTTATTCATCTATTTAACATACCTTAGACGGTTTTAAAAACTCTTTTTCTCTTTTGTAATTTTTAAAAATTAAAAAAAATGTGAATTTTTTAAAACCCTTTTTAATGTAGGCCAGTCAGTTCTGATATAGTGTGTGATAAAAGAGGTCACTTTTGTTTACATACACATAACACTTTATAACACTGAAATAATTCATTTATTTTTTACAATTATTCAAAGTAATTTTTCAATTAATCTTGAGCACGCCCATGGAGTGGTCGGAGGTACCAGTTAAAATTATGCTAATTACTCTCTCGTTCATAAAAATAAACTATAGTACTAGCAACAACTGTAGAACATTTTCTACAGGAAATCACCGAGAAAAAATTCAATGTAAAATCACTCTGCAATGACTCTACAAGAAAAATGTACCAAAGGAGGCTAGCACAGAAGATACAACTGAAACAAATAGACCACATCGAAGATATAAACGCAAGCTGGGAGAAAATTAAAAACAGCATTGAAGAAGCAGCAACAGAAGCTCTTGAGCAAAAGAAACAACAACAATATATCATGGTTCAGAAGAGAAATGTAAAGAGAAACGAGCCCTACACGAAGTACAAAACATTAAATACTCCAGTATCCCGAGACACCTATAGAAGAATACGAAATGAAACAAAGCAGTTGGTAAGAACAAAAAAAGAGCACTGGGAACAGTTTACAAAAATGATAGAAAGCGACTTCTACTGTACATAAAAACAAATATGGAGATTAATAAGAAACCAACGGAAAGGAATGGCAGAATTAAAGGAATACAATAGTATACCACCAAACAGATGGGAAAGATATCTTGACGAAGCTGTTTAAAGGAAAGGAAAATAATAATCAACACAATAACGTATCAGGAAGTAGAGATAGCCATAAATTCACTCAAAGATAGAAAATCACCAGGACCAGACGGAATAACCAACGAGCTTCTAAAATACGGAGAAGAAAATATAACCCTAGAGATGACAAATCTTATGCAAAAACTAATATTGCACTGCAAGATACCAGACGCATGGAGAAACAGCATAATGATAGCAATGTTCAAGAAAGGAGATAAAGAAGACTCCAACAATAGAGGTATAAATGTACTGAACACCGCACTTAAGCTTACCACAAAGTCCTAACCAACAAAATCAATAAAATAACTTTATCAGATAAACAACGAGGATTCAGATCCGGAAGATCCTGCATAGACGCCGTATTTGTATGGCATATCTATGTTTTATAGACTTGACAAAGGCTTTCGATGGCATCAAAGTCAAAGACGTCTTACACCTACTGTATAAAAGAAACATACCAATCAATATTATACAAACCATCGAAAACATCTACTTCCATAATCGAATACACACGGCGGAGACAAGACCTGATACATCTAAAACGAGACGACTGCTAGAAACAAAACTGCAAACCAGACTGTCAAAAGAAGAGCATGCAATATAGAAGACCTAAATGGATGGGCGACAAAACGAAAACAGGAGTGGAACGAACATATCAGTAGAATGGCATAGGATAGAATAGTACGAATAGCACGAGGTAAGCCACCAAATGGACGAAGAAGTATTGGCAGACCAAGAAAAAGATGGTGCGACAATTTAAACAATTTTGGAGGCTAATATTGAAGAAGAACAGGCTTTAAAGCCTACATACATACATTTTTTTTCTCCTTGTTCCTTATAGATTAATTAGAGGCTGAATATAAGAAATTTAAGGAACGTTTGGAAAAGTAGACGCCTCTACTATGCGTAGACAGGCCAAACAATGGGTTCTGGTTGTTTTAAGACTATAGAAAAGAAATAAATTGGATATTCGATCGCTGAATATTATATTATTTACTTTTTATTGCTGATATTATGACTTATGAAGTTATTATAAATCTAAATGCTATCTACTATATTTATTCGAAATAAACCCCAATTTTAATCTTGGTTGAAATCAAAATATCAAGTATTTTCAGTTAAAATTGTGGTTGATTCCCATTAAATGCAGTAGATGATAAAGACATACTACAAGAAAATATGTTCAAAATCGAAGTGCCTTCTGATACTTAAACGGTTTGTTTTTCTATTTTCAGAAAAGTGGATAATACTTCAAAAAGTAATAAAACTGTGCATTTTTCTGCCGAAAAGTCAAGTAAGTGTATTTCTAGTAATAAACTTTCTTAAAGCTGTAGAATTAATTAAGCAATGTATAAAAGGTTAAAATAATATTCCCAATTTCTTTTTCAGTATTTTTAGGACGGTTAATTTTTAAAATTTACAGTGTCCTATTTTTTAATAAGTCAAGCTTTTAAATTCTAAATTCAGATTTGAGTTTTAATTTTTTTATTATTTTCGTGATTTTCATTACGCTTGAATTGATGATTTTTAATTTGATTAATTGGTATCACCGGAATTCTCGAACAAACTCTATTCGAACGAACGATTGTTAAGTTATCTGCTTTTTGAAACTTGTATTTGTCAATGTATATTTGTGTGCTTATTTTTAATTTTTCTAGTGCGGATCCGACTTCAATTTTTCCGTTGTGATGCACTCTCAGGAGTTTCCTCATTCTGTATTTCCCCACATTCACAGAGTTGGTCGTTATCTGTCTTTATACCTCCATTCAATTAGGTATTGTTTTACAGAGGCTCCTATTGATCCAATCGTAACATACAAGGTATCTTGTAATAGGATTTAGATAATAGAATGCCAGAGAAAAATTAAACATAACGGCATACCATAAACACCTTAAGCTTATAGCGCCTAAACGGGTTAACGTACATGGAGGCACGTTATGTTTCGTGATATGATTTGGCGAATAGAATACAATGGCATAGAAAAATCAAACATAGCAACATGCCATAAAGACCTTAGGTACTCATCTTTACTCCTATTGGTCCAATTGGGACATGTGAGACATTTTGTAATAGGATTTAGTGAATAGAATACAATGACAGAGAAAAATTAAACATGGACGCACACCAAAGAGGTCTTAGGCATGTAGCACCTAAACGCTTTAACGTACGGAGACATATTTGGTTCCTTATAGTAGAATTTAGCGAATAGAATACTACGACAAAGAAAAATTAACCAAGGCGGCATTCCAAAGGCTTTAGGTATATATTTGCTCGTATTGTTAAAATTAGACTAAAAATGCGACGTATTGACGTAAAACTGACATTTGACACATAACCCGAGACAGATATTTGGATTTGCGCCGATAATGACGACAACAAAATAACATATCCATTAAAACGTGTTCAGCCTACACCATGGATTTGACATTTGACGTCCACTGCTCAATATAAACATCCAATTGTTTCTTACACTGTTATACACGAGTCTCGCGAATTTTATTATGTCCAAACCTACAAGATTTAGCCTCTGACGTAGGTATGTAGGTATCTGAATGGTAAATGAACACTGTACAAAATCTCTACATACCTGTGCATTAAATTTGAACAATTATTAAAAACATTTTTCAGAAATCTGGTTAAAAAAGGCAAGAATTTGAAAATAAATTTGCTAATATTAATGTTTCAGTATGATAGTAACCAATTTAATTCAAGCAATTTACATAGAATAAAACTGAAGAAGATCATCAAGAGTTGTTAATTGTTTAAGCTTTTCTTTAATTATTGCAAACTCTTACTTTAAGGCTGTTTTATCGGTACACCAAAACCTAGATACAGTGTTTTCTCTGTTATTTACCGACAAAATATCTCGAAATTTGGACACGTTATTCAAAATTATGTTGCCTTTAAACTGATGGTTTTACTTTTTTAATTTTTTTGAAAGTTCTTTTGAAATATCGGATTATACAGTTTAACGTTCTATTATAACCAAACTTTTTACGCCCATCACTTGAAAGAGTTTTTTTTTTTCTGTAATCGTTGGTTTTTTTTTTTACCTTTTTATGTCCAGTAATAATCGAGAAAAGCGTGTTCAAACTTTGAAGAAAATTCCTCTAAAATACTGAAATCTAATAGTGAAACGTGTTACTCATCATTGGTATTTAGTTTACCGTTATCGGCTGCGTGACGTCAAATCTCATGAACGGACGGTCACATAACTGCGAAATTGTTTATTTGTTTGTGACAACAAATTAATTTTTTTTTTTTTGATAATAATATTTTTATGTTATTTTAAATTTATTATAAATAAACCACCATGATGTTTTTTGCAGTCACGTTTCACAAATTTATATTCAATACTATGTTTAGCTAAGATATATAAATTAAAAATGTGATAATTATTTTTAAAACATCTACGATAATCAAACAAAAAAGGTATTCCCGACAAAAGTAATTGGAATGGAGAATAATGTTTGTTGTCATTAAATCACCCGCCGGCCGGCGCCACTGCGAAAACAGCTGTACCCGTCGTCGGCTGGCGTAAGCAGTGAGGAAAAGTAAGTGATACGCCCATTTCAAATCGCAGTGTGTTGCGACTGCTAAAACAACCTTAAACAGAATTTAATTTTTTTTATAATAATTATAAAATGATTCAAATGGATGCCTGTTGGACAATAAAGCTATAATTATTCTATAATAACGATTATTTTTCAGAGCACGTTCCTTCTGGCGGCCAATTGGAATGTCCCCCATTGCCCGAGAAAAACACTTATTTCGAAATACACGTACCTTTCGCCGTGAACCCCTACAATTTCTTCGTTCAGCCTCTAGAATCACTTTCGAAGTTGAACAGAATGATGGAACAACTACAGGATAAATACAAAGATGTCACGTACAGTCCTCTAACACTGGATCAAATTCAACCCGGTAATATATACGCTTCCAGATTCGACGATGGAAACTGGTATAGGTAAGATGAATTAACTAGATTATCTCCTATCGAATGCTGTAAAGCATCATTGCACTATTTTTAGATCTCATTATTCATATCTCTCCATATAAGCCGAATATTCAATTTTATATTAATTACTATTTAACTGGGAATAAGCCATAATTAAAGATAAAAATACGTTTATTGACGTTTAAGAAAAAAAAATTTGAGAACGATTTCCGAAGTGGAAATTGAAACGTCAATAAACGTATTTTTATCTTTAATTGTGGCTTATTCCCAGTTAAATAGTAATTAATTTAAAATGCCACAAGAAAATAGCTTCAGAACAATTTCAATTTTATAGTTTGTATAATACTACAAATACACCTCAATATTGGATATTTTATCCGGCCATGATTTCCTTTTAGAACATTACATCCCAAAAGAGTTTTTATTTCAGATTGTTTTATTATTGTTTCCAAACCACATAGCAATGTACAGAAGTTGTAGTATTTTGTGCAAATCTCTATGTTAAGGTTAATAGTGGGTTGTCGATCACATTAATGTTTTAGTGACGTTCTTGAACAAAATTTATAGTTCAGGCGTATTACCCAAAGAGTGGTTAACGTCGATTTTTATTTGTCTCTCTAAAAAGAAAACCGCAAGAGAAGATAGCTTGATGTGTCATGTGCTAAAGTTACTACTAAAAGTCATCCATAACCGAATATATTATCACGAACAGGACATAGACGTTAATAATATACAATTTGATTTTCGCAAAGGCCTAGGAACGCGTGAAGTTCTTTTTTCACTTAATATACTGGTACAAAGATGCCTGGTTGTCAATCAAGTACGACATAAACAATTAATGAATGTCCTAAAATCAAAGAAGATTTACTACAACGACCTCAGGATCATATCAAATTTATACAATAACAGCAAGCAAAAGTACGTCTTAACGAACAGCTGTCAGTAATTACTATAATTACTGTTCTGATTGGGTCGAAATACGTATCAACAGATACAAAGGCGCTTTTTGCGTGAAATCAAATATTTTCTGTCTTTTCATTATTAATTTTATATTTATATCATGACTTCATATTTAAATCTTTTAGGTTTATATATGCCATAACAGTATTTTAAAAATGGGGATAATTTACTATTGTACAATTCAGCACATTGGACCATTTAAATCGACACCTTAAAGCGAATTTTAAACAGTCGTATATTCGTGGAAGGGAGTATATGGATTTTTTTGTGAATTATAATAGGATGAACATTAATTAAGGAACACTGCAATAGTTTTTTGAAGTCGAAGTCACTGTTAATTACAATATAAACCGGTCGCTAATATGTATACAAAATAATGACAATTTCAAGGTTTTACCGAAGTGGATGCTTTTGAAATCTACCACCAGGCGTCGCCCACTTTGCGGTTCCTCGCGAATATATATACAGTCCTCTCTCTCTATAACGATATGCAAGGGACCGGGAATTTTCATCGTTATAAGGAGAGATCGTTATACAGAGAGAAACAAAATTCGGTACTGTAATATTAATAATACTGTACTAAATAACCTATTTTAATTTAAAAAAATTATCAAAACGAATATGAATGACTTAACATTGTATTCCACATAGATTTATTAACGAATAATATAAGCAATACAGTATAAAAAATGACTGTGCAATTAAAACATGTGTACTGTACAATAAAAAAATAAAATGCTACTGTAAAATATATTTACCCTACATTATCAAAAAAATCTATCACCTGACCTTGTCCTGAAGACGCATCGAATCTTCTACAGCACTCATATCGTCTTCCTGGTGGATGAAAAATCGATGCAGTACTTTTGCCACATCCAATGCCTGCTGAGGGGTCAGAGCTGGTTCTGACTCTGCTTCCACCTCAGAGTCACTGTTTTCTTCTTCTTCTACACGAACTGCTTGCAGGATGTCCTCGTCAGAAAGTCCAGATGTTGTAGCTACATTTTTATCAACTTCTTCAAAATCTGTTAGCTCTTCCGGTCCGTAGGTGATAGTAAATTCAAACTGTCTGGCCCAAATATCTAATGGCAGGTCATCTTCATCATAAGCCAATCCTTAATCTTCCAGCCATCCTGCGTGTTTGAAGGAATGTTGTATTGTATTACTCGTCACTTCGTCCCAGGATCTACTAATCATTAGGATGGCGTCAAGAATGTTTAGTTTAAGATCGCCATTATTCTCAACCAATTCCATCGAAAGTCTTCTCCTGTAATGGTTTTTTAAACTCTTGATGACACTTTGGTCCATGGGCTGAAGGACACTCGTTATGTTTGCTGGCAGAAAACAGAGTTTGATGTTTTGAAGGTCGTGCAATACAGGATGAGCAGGACAATTGTCTACAAGCAAAAGAATTTTTTTCCCCTTAAGCTCGATATCCCACTTTCTTATCGCTTCTTCAAAAATTTCCGAGGTCATCCACGCACTCTTGTTTGCTTTATATGTCAATGGTAGATTTTTTATGTTTTTAAAGCAACGCGGGTTTTTCGACTTCCCTATCACTAACAATTTTCGCTTCACCGAACCTGTCATGTTAGCGGCTACTAAAACTGTAATGCGTTCCTTAGAGAGCTTTCCACCAACGCACTTTTCCAATTTAAATTTTAAAGTTCTGTTGTGTGTCATTTTAAAAAACAATCCAGTCTCATCCGCATTGAAAATGTCGTCTGACGCATATCGTGCCTTCAGTCCAGGCCACACGTTTTCTAGCCAATGATCCGTTACGTTTTTGTTAACATCGCGAGCCTCTCCGCTAATTTGGCCGTAGTTGATCTTGTGCCGCATCTTTCACTTGCTCAGCCAACCCTCAGATGCCTTAAAATTCTCAATTCCAAGTTCAGTTGCAAAAAATTCAGCTTTTGTCCTGACCACAGGCCCAGAAAGTGGAATATGGTTCATACGCTGCTGCTGGAACCACTGAAGCATAGCGCGATCTAAATCTTCGTGCTGAGGTTTCCGCAACTTCTTCCTGCTACCGCCCTCCATCTCCGCTTTAAGCCACTTTTTTCTGTCCTTCCATATCGTAGCCACAGTTGACTGAGATAGCCCCGTCCGGCGAACGAGATCCGATTGCTTTTCACCTTTCTGTATTGCTCGAGTTATCGATATTTTTTCCTCCACCGAGAGCACTTTACGCTTTTTTGAAAACATGTTGACTGTTGGCACACTAAGACGCAACTCAAACTTCAAATTAAAAGTCGTCAATAGATGACAACATCTGTGTGATAACAGTTAATTACGCCGCTCGAACAATAAACGTCACTTAACCCTCTGATAAGAAAGAGTGTATGCCGCATTCCTTAAACGCAAAACAAAACAACCGCTGAACAATGACCTTTTCATTCGTGACTCAGGTAGTCTGAACTTTAAATAAAATAACACATTTGTCATCAACTATTGAACGCTAAAAAAGTTATCGCTATAAAGAGAGAACGATATCGGTATAGAGAAAGAATTAATACATTGTTCTTATGACGAACCAACCAACGTTTACTATTTTCATCGTTATAGAGGAATTATCGTTATATAGGGAATCGTTATAGAGAGAGACTACTGTATTTGAAATATTTTCGTAGGAGTGTAAACCTGCTATGTTTGTTCTTTTTTATTTTCATTTTTGACACTGTCGTTAATATCAAATGTAACCTTTTATTTGCAATTTTTATTTCAGGACCACCGTGATTAAAGTGATTCATGACGGATCAATATCGGTCTTTTACTGCGATTTCGGTTACTACAGTAACTTGACTTTGCAACAGTTGCTCCCTCTAGACGTTGAGTTTCTGATGTTACCTTATCAGGCTCTCAAAGCCAAAATGTCAGGTAAGTTTTCTATTTTGGACTAATTTAGTACATCTTTTAACAAAATTAATAGTATAGTATGTGCACCAGAGATAGAATATTTAAAAGTTTTTGCCGCGCTCCTTTAGAACTGCACAAATAGTGATGTGCAAATCAGAACTGACCCGATTCAATGAGCCGAATCTTCAGAAAGATCCGGCTGACCCGAATCTCAAAATTAAATCTAACGGATCACGGGTCAGTAACAAACACATATGACGCGCAGAATGATGTAGTTCTAAGCGAAAGCGAGGAGTCAACTGAACACTGAATCCCAAGTTCTTATAAACAGAACCGAATCTTTTCAGATTTTTGCGGTCTTGCTCGTTTGAAAGGAATGTAAATCGTGAACTGATTGTCGGTTTTCAGGCCAGGATATTGAGAAAGCAAAATATTATTTATTTTACTGATAATTATAAGGTGTAAAATATTAATTAAAAACTATACTTATAATATAAATTAATTAATTAATATTGTTGGCTGTATCTGCAAGTGACTTCCACGTATAAAGTCGTCTCGGCGGAAGTCTAAACCAGGTGTTAGCAATGGTAAAATCTTCTTCTTGACAAAATTGGATAAGTCGGTCTCCTCTTTCGTTTTTCTCGCCTAAGCAGTGTTGTCCGACGATGTCTTCTATTCTGCTTTTGCCAACTTTGGCATTGAAATCACCCATGATGATGGTAAGCTCGTTCTTCTTGGTATATTTTAGTGCTCTTTGTACAAGTGAGTAGAACTCCTCAATATCCTTTTCTGGTTTTTCTGATGTTTGAGCGTAAATTTGAATGATGTTCGTATTAACGGATCTTCTTTGGAGCTTCATCAGACCTGACTTACCTGATCACAGCTCCAGCGACCATTTCCCGCATAATATACTATATGTTCATCCACATAGCACTGTCCCGAGCCTGACCATCTCATTTTAGTCTTTTCATTTCTTGAATGGTGTTGTGTATCTTTCCCCCTTCAGACATACTTCGAATATTCCAAGTTCAGATTTTTTTAACCTTTCACGTGCACACTTTTTCTCTATTAGTGTTATAGTGTTTAAATATTGGTAAGGATTTCGTAGATTGATGACCTGGTAAGCCTTACATTTTCATGTTCTTCTTCCCCTGCCGGATCTTGGTATCTGAAGTCCATGATCAGTACCTTCTTCGAAATTGGTTTACATTAACCACAATGAATGAACTAGTGACTATTTATGGGGTGGTTTTCCGTGTCCTTCCCCATCGCAGTCTCATAGCCGTTTGACTCATAATGCAAGTGGCGCCTGTGAGTATCTAGAATTAAGCCTACAGGATTTTTTTTTACTTTACCACAACCTTAATCCAGGAATGACATTACTGCAGCCTAATGCCATCTCCTCAGTTGATCCGCAGGTACTTATTTGGCCTTATTCGTACCAGTCCTGCATATTTGCAGGAACTTTCCCTACCAGCCATTGGGACCGGTCGTGTTGGGGTTGAGGACTTCCCCGCCTAGTCTATTTTACGCAAAGTACTGAAGGGTCCCTACTCAATTCAAAGTCCCTCCTCCACGCAAGTTGAGACCAGTCACAGATAGTTCACCTTCATCATCATCATCTTGGTGCTACAGCCCTTAGAGGGCCTCGACCTTCTCGAGCTTTCTACGCCATTCTGTTCTGTCCCTTGCTTGAATTTTCCAGTTGCCGAATCCGATCTTCTCCGCATCTTGTGTTACCCCATCCATCCACCTCAGCTTTGGTCTACCCCGTCGTCTCATTCCCACAGGTTGCGCTGTTAGAATCTTTTTTATCATGTTCGATTCAGGGGCCCGGGCTACATGTCCTGCCCACTGCAGGCGGTTTCGCTTAATTATAGTGGTAATATCTTTACCACCAAACGTATGCTTGTAGATATTCTGCAGTTCGAAGTTATATCTACGCCTCCATATTCCGTTCTCACAGACCGCTCCAAATATCTTGCGTAGCACCTTTCTTTCAAAAATGGATAGAGCGGATTCATCTGTTTTCGTTAGCGTCCATGCCTCTGATCCGTATGTAAGAACGGGGACTATCAGTGTTCTATACAGCCTTATACGAGTTTTTTGAGACAGACGTTTGTTAGCTAAGTACTTTGATAGACCATAATAACACCTGTTTGCAATTATTATTCGCCTTTTTATTTCCTCAGATGTATTATTATTGGGGTTAACCGATGTCCCTAGATATATGAACTCATTGACTGCTTCGAAGTTTTGGTCATTGATGATTAAATTTGTGTCAACATTTCCAGCTCTTGTGTTTGTGTTAGTCGCCATGAATTTGGTTTTATTTTGATTTATATGTAACCCCATTCGTTCTGCTGCTGCTACTAGCTCGGTTAGGATTTCCGCAGTTCTCGCCCTAGTTCTTGTTATAATGTCCACGTCGTCTGCATATGCTAGAATTTGGACTGATCTATTAAATATTGTTCCCCTGCTATCTAAATTAGCGTCTCGTACAACTTTTTCTAAGGCGACATTAAAAAGCTGACACGCCAGCGCATCTCCCTGCCTTAACCCCCTATGTATTTGAAATGGGGTTGACGAGTCGTTTTGAATTTTTACTGCTGATAGCATCTTCGCCAGTGTCACTTTTATCAAACGTATGAGTTTTTTTGGAATTCCTAACTCATTCATAGCGTTGTAAAGACTTGGTCTTAAGACACTGTCATATGCCGCTTTAAAATCGACAAAAATATGATACATATCTATGTTAAACTCTTGCGCTTTTTCGAAGATAATTCACCTACCATTTATATATTTTATTTACTGCATTTTGAAACCAGGTTATTTAATTTGTTAAATTTGTATGAAATCAGTTCTAACTACTAAAAATTGATTAAAATTACTTGCCTCTTTTTTCAGGAATCAGACCGAAAGACGCAAATTGGACTGTAAAGCATTGTGATAAATTTAAAGAGATGGTCGAAAGGAAACACCTTTACTCGTTTGTTGTAAATATAGAGAAAGATCAACTCTATGATTCGGATTTGGTGCTAGATCTTTTACTCATAGACACATCTTCCGAAGAAGATCTGAGGATCGATGAGTATCTCATTAGCCAGGGAATCGCAGTTAAAGCTTAATTCGCCAAAGCCGACTTGATTTTTAGTGTTTAAGTGATTTACTCCAGTTTAAAAATACTATGTATTCGTTTGCTAACCTTAATGTTCATTCCCGTTTTGTTCGATGTTCAAAAATAACTGTAGTTTGACAGAGTGAAGTAAGACTGTATGTAACTTACAAAATGGGATACAAAATGAACAAAAATGACATTTGTGATAGTACAAAATTGATAATGAATGAGAACATGATCAAATTTTGCGCCCTTTATTCCAAAAAACCCAGTAGTAACTTACCATACTCTAATAATTCCCAACATTCCATATTATCTAACATCACAATCTATAAATTTAGTCTAAAGCTATCAGAAATTACTTGTTAAAAAAACGTAATATTTATTTGTACGAGGATAATGTGAAAAATTCTCATCTTACTGTGATAACAAGAGTTTCGTATTAAAAATGAATTTTCCCAGTGTATTACATTAGTTCAATACAACAGTATCCAGTTTGTAGTACAAGGCTGTATCCCTAAATAAAATTCTGCTCTTGAAGGTCTTCAAAATATATATTCGCTATTGCTTTCGTCTAGTCATTGATGCCAGAAAATTTTCCAGTCCTAAATTTTTATTTGACCAAAACTCTTTTCTGGGCGAATACTGATAAAACATAATTTTTAACGTACCAACCAGCTTTTTTTAAATTTTTTCGTCCAACTTACCGATCAAGAAGTAGAGGATTCAGAATAAAAGTGAACCAAGTCCACTTTATCTACATTTGAGCTACAGAGGTTTAAAGTTATAGATTTATAGCTTTATAAAAAAATCACCCGTTAACATTCAATTTAAGAAGGTCAAGGAGTATCTTTTATTGGCCAAATTTTATGTAATAACCCCAAAAAATGCAAAAAGTGGACTTGGTTCAAATTTATTCTGAAGAATTTTAGAAAGATAATGAACCAACTCCAAGTGTTGTTAATATACTTTATTTTTACATCTACTTAGAGATAATATTAGAAATATTAAAACAAAATTCTTTGGTGGAAAAGTTAATTGACATAAAAAAACAAATCGTCGCAGTCGGTATCATTTCCTTCAGTCGCTTCGTTGTCCTGGGTTTGACGAATTGGCTGATTACCTGGAAGATTTCTGAAGTATCTATGATGAATAGGGGTATTTAAGGTAGCAGAGAACATCTCCTCCTTTTTTTTTAATGTATTTGTATTATGGTTGGGTAAAGCTGATCCTGCTGTACATACAGTCAACAAGGTTTGCACTTCCAAGGGTCTTCCAGGCCCTGTTTTACTTGTCTTTTTGAGATGTCCAGGGTTCGGAAACTCGAAATTTCACTGAAAGATTCATTTTTTGTTCAGAAAGGCTTTCCTTTTTTAAACTGTAATCACTGTATCTTAAACCAATTGATTTGCCTACCTTCAGTGTCCTTTTTCCTGTTTGTGATTGAATCTTCCGAGATATTTTGTGTTTAAAAACTCTTCTCGTTGTAGTCTTACAACTTCAAGCTGAGGCTTTTTCACTTTGCAGTTTTAATGATGTACCAGGCACTTTGATGGTCCTATGTTTATTGGATGCTCTCTCTATTAACCCAAATTCAGTATTATATATTAATCTAAAGATCTGATAGTAAAAGATTCGTAAGTACTGATGCTTGGCCAATGTAGCTTGCCACTGGAGTTTCTTAGTGACGAGACCTCGTTCTAGCATAAACATATAGGTATTACTATAATTGCATGAGTTGCACTCTTCGTCACTTTCACACGTGTTCCAAATTTACACTGGTCACATAATGCAATATCAATCAATCGCGCATTTTTAAGTGTCAATCTACATCGGTCAATTAAGAACACAAAATCGTCGTGTAAAAAGGTTAGCAAACGACACGTCCATATTAATCGAAAAATATTTTTAAGAATCAAATCTTTTCGTATTAAAAATATTTTCTATCGATGTTCCTTACTCTAGAGTTTATTTTGTTTTAAAGAAACTGTTTTTGTTATTTATTTTGTATGTATTTTGTATTAGAGTAAATAGTATTACTTAAGTGGTACATTGTTTATGTTTATTTAGATCTGAGGAGGAACACATTGGCTGTTAGTGCTTCATAATTGTTGGTAAGGAAGTTACAAATAGGTAAAAGTTTAGGTTGTGTCTCTGAGCAGAAACTACTTAAAGGTTTGTTAGTTTGAAATAAATAAACATTTCATTGTTGAATCTGATAACTCTTTTTGTTTCTTTTTGACTTGTCACAACTCTTTTGATGGTGCACAGGTGGGAACAGCTTTAACATTGTCGTTATGTTGGCTCTTGGTTGTCCCATTCAACAGCATTTGGGTGACGTCTTGGTTTACTATTACCTTGTGTGATTTTTTTCAGCGGCGGTAGCTTTGTCAACCAGAGTCAGTGCTATTTTGACATTATGTGTCATGTCCATGTTTTCCTTTATATAAGTGGTAATAATAATATCGTATGGCATTTTTGCCAGAGAGATCCTTTCAGACAGGTTCCGCCAGCATTTGCATCTTTAGTCCTGTTTCAAATAGCCAGTGTCAATGCACACACTAGCCCAGGGGACCGATGGCTTAACGTGACCTCCGAAGCACGGTGAACGGCTCGGAGCTATATTTTAGAAATAAAAATGTCATTGTTGGTGCCGAGATTCTCGCGAGAACTCGCGCTCTGGCTTATGAAGCCAGTATCTTGCCGCTGAGCTACGGCCGTCTGCAGTAGTAATAAATAGTCCCGCAGTGAACTGTTCTTCTTACGAACTTCTTCGCTAAAAGAATCCACAATATAAAGTTTTTCGTATCTTTTCACATCTTCGGATTCATTGGAATTTCCAGGCACCTATTTTTGTCTGTCCACGTTTCATTAGTTTCACAGAATCCTCCTATGTACCATTCCTATTGAGGTTTGTAACCAGTAGGGCAAAGTTTTATCTATTGTGGGCTTGGTGTATGGGAGTGTTTATTTCAGTTCTGGTCCAGCCTCTTATATTCCTTTTATTAGTTCGTTCATCTCTTTTCTTTGCCCTCTGATCATTCTTCATATTTCTTTTTGTGTTCCATCTGTTTTGAGAAACTCTGTCAGTGTTCCTTTTTTATCTGTCTAACTAAAGTATTCGTTTGAGGTCCATGATCTTTCAAAAGTTTTTTAAGATATTCAAATACAAATATAGTGTTGCAGAGACTTCATTTTCATATTTGCAAGTAAAAATGTTAAAAGTTTTTATGCAAAATTAAGGTGGATGTAAACAATGTTAAGTATATACTTTACCATTTTTACTTTAAAACGTTTATTCTAAGAATATAAGGAAATTTACCTTCTTTGTAGAAATAAGCTAGCATATCGAGCTAGCTTCACTAAATACTTGAAATTCAGGATCTTTATGTTAAGTCATAATTATCATAGCTCTCAGAATTGTCACTATTAACAGCAAAAATGCTGTTTAAATTTGAACAACCTGCATTTTGTTCCGCCATCATGAACACTTACCTAATTTTAAGAACTTAATCTGGCGCCATCTATTATTAGTAGTATAAACTACGTGCAATTTTCTGCTTTATCATGTCCCTTATATTTCGCGAGAAATCAAAATGTGTCCCTTACCATTGTTTACTACCTAGCCCCTCAATTCTAGCAGCATTGTACCATCGAAAAAAATTATATATAATCTAGTTTTATTTTCGTATAAGGAATAAGTCCTCATTATATTTCCTTTTAGTTCTCTTTTAGGTTTAAAATCCATAATCATCGACTTTCTGTCATCAAATTTTAATTTCAAATATTTTACGTGTAAACCAAATGTTTTTAAACCGAAAAGTAGCTTTTGCAATCTTTCATGTATTACTGATGATGATCGGATTAGACCAAAATGTTTTGAAATTGTTAATTCTTTTGGTTATTTTATCATAAATTAAATATACCAATCTACAAGTTTTATAGTTCCTTAAATATAGTATTTTTTTTTTAGTTTTATTTTTCTTGCATTTCAGTGTTCCTTAGTATTATTTCTAAAAGATCACAATATTGTCTTACACAATGTATGGAATGAAATAAGTTACGTAAAACAGTATCTACAGTACTGTGAAATTAAGAAGTAATTTAGAAAAAAAATATATTTTGACAAAACTATAAAGGTAAACTACATCATTTATTGGGAGATATGTTCCTCTTTGGTTGCAATTACTGCTTTTATCCGTTTTGACATAGATTCTACGAGATTCGGACAGTTTCCAGATATCCTATCATCTTGAAACCCAACCTAAATAACCGCTTCAATCATTTTTATTTTGTAGTACAGTCGATTTTCTGCAGTCTAGCTTTGCAAATGGCCCATAAATTTTCAATGGGGTTGAGGTCTGGCGAATTATTGGGCCAATCTAAAGCATTAATCTTCTTATTTTTGAAAATTTCATCATTTGCTTTGACTTCTGGCAGGGAGCAGGAGTCCTGTTAAGAATCGCTCTTCCCTGAGGCCGACATTTTTTAAGTTCTGTGTCCAAACACTGTTCTAACATGGATTTGTATTTTTAGCTGTTAATCATGCCTTCGATTGGTATAAACATCCAACCCCCATGTATGAAAAACGTCGCCAAAACTGTTTTTTGACTGGATGTTTTAAGGTTTGATCAGTATGAGATGGTAAGTTTTCCATTGTCAGACTTCCTGACGAATTTCGACCGCTGTCTCTTAACTATAAAGTTAGTTTCATCTGTAGTTCCGTCTTCCGAACAGTTGGCTCATGAATCACTACACCTTATGCTGCTAAATCTTGTTGGGAGCTTTTGGCTTGTTTTTCTTGGGTCTAATTTTCTCTTTCGTAGTATAAATCCTTCATCTGCTGGTGTTATTTTTCTCTTTCTTCTTCATTTTTGCTTCGACGGTCAACATGTTTGGTTTTTTTCTTCTTTGGAGTCCTTGTCGACCAGTACGAATCAAGAATCTCAGTTAGTCGACCAGATAATTTAGAAAGGGTATTTTCGTATTTCTGGTATGTAACTCGGTATATAGAATATATGAATTGTATACTGCCATCATTAGAACTTTGTAGTAAACCTTCTTCCACTATTTTTGGGATTTTCTATTGAGATCGTACACAGATGTCTTTTGAACACATCTATCTACACCTCCCATGTAACGGATATAGAATTCAATCGATACATCACAACAAATGTTGGCTTTTGAACCATCTTTCAGTTTTCTACACACGGTGGTTTCTTCCGGCTTACGGCAGTTAGTACAATAAAATCTTTTTTGCCCTGCCATCGTATAGCTAATGTTCCAGATTCATTACCTTTTACTTGCGATTCTCCTCGATTTAGCTTGCCATGAAATTTGGGTAAATTTTTTCGAGTACTCATGCATGTACCGACGGCAGGAAACATAATGGTATCCATAAGATAAACTGTTGTAAAAAATCTGTCTAATCAAATTACATTTTCACTAGAAATTGTTGAAGATAACTGATTGACTACACGTTCTCCCAAAGTACCTACAAAACACCTACCTATCAAACAAAACAAAACATCTTCGTCGAGACTCAATAGTTTGTCACTATCTCTTTGGAGTACACTATTGAAATGATATAGTCGTCCAATACAAAATCATTGGATTAAAGTGTTTTTAATTGTTCATCTTCAATTACCACTTCAACATCTTGTACTATTATATTATTCGGCTCATTTTCACAATTTGCGGAGAATCAGCAAAATTATCATTGAGATCGTGTTGGTCAAGAGTTTGCGGAGATTCAGCTACATCATCATTAATATATTTTTGGTGTGTATGGATATTTCCAAGTATCTGCACAATTTACGAAAATTAGCAAAGGGCAAGACCAAAACTATTAAAGAATAGCAGCGAGAAATTGAACTGATTTATTTTAGACCATCAAAGTTGGTGTTACCTAATAACTAATACTCATATATCTCTAATACTCAGATAACATTATGTGAAGTGTTTTTACATAACAAAAATTTATGAACCACAAACAAAAATAATAACGAAGTCCGATTTCTAAGAACAATATTGTGTGTTCGTAGCAAAGATTTGATTGAACGTAATGCCTGACCCCTAAGTATAAAATATGAACCAACAATGAATCGCAAATCAACAATACTAGTATTATACCGAACGTTTTCGTATCATCGGCAAGACGACACCTACTGAAATAACGATCTTGTCGTCTGACAATAATAATTGACGAACGTCAGTTCATGGGTAAAATCCTACACATCCGATTTACAAACTTCTGCAAACCTGAATCACTGATGTTGCACTCATGCATGCAATTGAAGTGATCAATGATCCTCTCTCAGCCGAAATCAGCGATGCGGTTTGTCTCTTTCCTTTGCGCCCCACTATTATTGCAATTTTATTTTGCACAATGATTAGGTCTGTTTCATTCACGTTGTAAACCTGATTACTGGAAAAATTGTATTTATCATGTGCTTTTTCCAGATGATCAAAAAATATTTGAACATTCTCTTTGTTAAAGCTAGCTGCCGTCCAAAAGACGTTTCAATTGGTCTCCTTAAAGCCTATGTATTTTTATAAAGCGCCAAGAACAAATCTAGCCAACCTCTACCAGCTTTTTTTAATCCATTTGATTCAGCCAGATTAAGTGCCATTCGTTTGATATCAGTCCGTGTTAAACCATAGAATTTCGCTTCCATTTGAAGGATATAGTCCACCAAACATTTTTCTGAATCTGGGCCAAGAAGGAATTATTTTTTTTTACAAACTTTCAAACCTTTGCTACAATGTGGCAGTAGGTACTAACTCAATTTTATAAAATATGTCGCTTAGTCTACCTTTGCAGAACAACATCCAAATAGGAATTCCTCCTCGGTCCTTGAGCCATTGTCAGGGCGTGGTGTTACTCTAAATATTATTAGCATGCTATCTCCATTGGCTGTGATCCTGTGCCATATGGACGGCTTTTTTTACTTATGTAGCGATTTTCCCACCAGAGTCTTCAGATGCCCATAACTGGAAGTGACATGTCTGTCAAAATATTTTCTGTAAGTTTGTCATAACTTTTAATCCCCATAAACCAAAGTATTTTCCGATATATAGTTAGCGAAACAATTTTTTACTAGTTTGTTATGAACTTGTTCATTTCATCTGAGATATTTGAATGCAATACATTGTTTTTCTATTAAATGATCTAATAACATATTTCATCATCATCTTTGGCTCGACAATCCTCTGTGGATCTTGGCCTGCTCTAAGATTCGTCGCCATTCTGTTCGGTTTTTGGCAACATGTTGCCATCTTCTGATTTTTAATATTCGTAAGTCGTTTTCTACTTCATCTAACCACCTAATTCGCGGTCGGCCTTTGCTTCTTTTTCCTACAGGTGTTCCTGTGTATTATGTGTCCAGCCCATCTAAGTCGCTGTGTTTTAATGAACGTTATGACATCTGGCTCATCAAAGAGCTGATACAATTCAAAATTATATCTTCTGCGCCACTGCCCTTGGTCGTTTACAGCTCCAAATATTTTGCGGAGTATTTTACGCTCAAGTATTCCCAAAAGTCTTTCATCTTTCTGCGTTAGAGTCCATGTTTCTGCTCCATATGTGAGGACCGGCCTCAGCAATGTTTTGTATATAATAATTTTAGTTCTTTGAATGTTTCTTGAGTGGAAATGCTTTTGGAGTCCATAGTATGCCCTATTTGTAAGATTTATTCGTCTTTTGATTTCTTCGCTTGTTTTATTGGTAGCAGTCAATAGCGACCCAAGGTATGTGAAGTTGTCAACACGTCCAAAGGTATGACTTCCAAAGACAGTTTCTCGTTCCTCATTTGCTATCGGATCCTTTGTAACCAAAATGTACTTGGTTTTGTCTTCGTTGATGACTAGACCGGTCTGTTTCGCCGCTGTTTCCAATTCTAGGAGATATTGCTCAACATCTCGCTTCCTACGCCCTACTATGTCAATGTCATCTTCTTCTTCTTCCAATGGCGCTACAGCCCAAATTGAGCCTTGGCCTCCTGTAACTTCTGCCTCCAACAAAGGCGATCCCGCGCCACTCGTCTCCAAGCCCTGACGTTCAGTAAGTTGTGCGCATCTGCTGTGACTTCGTTCTCCCATCTATTACGTGGTCTTCCCTTTGGTCTTCTGCCCTGCATTTTACCATCCAAGGCCTTTCTCGGCAATCTGTCGGCATCCATCCGTACCACATGACCAGCCCATCGAAGCCTTTGTACTCTAGAAGACTTGTATCGATCTATTGTAAATAGTACCGCCATCCCTAATTCGTGTATCTCGGACTGCCTTTTCTAAGGCAATATTAAATAGGAGGCAAGCCAGAGCATCTCCTTGTCTGAGTCCATCCTTTATCTCAAAGGATCTAGAACTCTCTCCCTGTATTCTAACAGTGGCTTCTAAGTTAGACATTGTCATTCTCGTTAGTCGGATAAGTTTTTCTGGTATACCAAACTCATGCATTGATTGGTATAGCATTGTTCTCTTGACACTGTCGTATGCGGCCTTGAAGTCGACGAATAGGTGATGGGTTTCAATATTGAATTCTAATGTTTTCTCGAGAATCTGTCTTATTGAATGTATCTGGTCAATTGTTGATTTTTCTGGAGTGAATCCAACTTGATATTTACCAACTATGCCCACTGTGTAAACTTGCAACCTTTCGTAGAGAATATTTGCTAGTATTTTGTAAGCAGTTGTTAACAGGGTTATACCTCTATAGTTGTCACACTGGAGCTGGTCACCTTTTTTATGTAACGGGAATATCACGCCTTGAGACCATTCACAAGGCATGGTCTCATTATGCCAAACAAGAAGTAAAAGCTTATGCAGTGTCTGTAGTAGGGCATCGCCACCATTCTTGTAGAGCTCACTGCAAATTTGATCAACTCCTGGTGATTTATTATTTTTAAGCTTTTTAATGGCTTGGGCAACGTTTTCGATGATAGGTGGTCTTTCGTTTGGGTTGAAAGGATTC